CCATTGGGCTGCTGACCAATCATAATCACTCTGTACAAGTTGTTTATCAGACTGGTCCTTGTAAAGAAGACTGGGGCATTTCAGCATTTTTCACTGAGCAATATCATCAAAATTCATACTGTAATACCTCAGTCACTGTTGTATCATAAAGACACTGTAACATATACTGAAACTTCCCAGTCACTGTTGTACCACAGAGACACACTGTAACATATACTGAATCTTCCCTGTCACTGTTGTACCACAGAGACACACATTGTAACATTGTAACATATACTAAATCTTCCAAGTCAATGTTGTACCACAGAGATACACTGTAACATATACTGAATCTTCCCAGTCACTGTTGAACCACAGAGACACACATTGTAAGATATACTGAATATTCCCAGTCACTGATGTACCACAGAGACACACATTGTAACATATACTGAATATTCCCAGTCACTGTTGTACCACAGAGACACATTGTAACATATACTGAATATTCCCAGTCACTGTTGTACTACAGAGACACACATTGTAACATATAATGTATCTTCTCAGTCACTGTTGTACCACAGAGACACACATTGTAACATATACTGAATATTCCCATTCACTGTTGTACTACAGAGACACACATTGTAACATATTAAATCTTCCCAGTCACTGTTGTACCACAGAGACACACATTGTAACATATACTGAATATTCCCAGTCACTGTTGTACCACAGAGACACACATTGTAACATATAATGTATCTTCTCAGTCACTGTTGTACCACAGAGACACACATTGTAACATATACTGAATATTCCCAGTCACTGTTGTACTACAGAGACACACATTGTAACATATAATGTATCTTCTCAGTCACTGTTGTACCACAGAGACACACATTGTAACATATACTGAATATTCCCAGTCACTGTTGTACTACAGACACACATTGTAACATATAATGTATCTTCCCATTCACTCTTGTACCACAGGGACACACATTGTAACATATACTGAATATTCCCAGTCACTGTTGTACTACAGACACACATTGTAACATATAATGTATCTTCCCATTCACTCTTGTACCAGAGACACACATTGTAACATATACTGAATATTCCCAGTCACTGTTGTACTACAGACACACATTGTAACATATAATGTATCTTCCCATTCACTCTTGTACCACAGAGACACATACTATAACATATAATGTATCTTCCAGTCACTGTTGTACTACAGACACACATTGTAACATAATGTATCTTCCCATTCACTCTTGTACCACAGAGACACATACTATAACATATAATGTATCTTCCAGTCACTGTTGTACTAGAGACACACATTGTAACATAATGTATCTTCCAGTTCACTGTTGTGCCATAAAGACATACACTGTAACATATACTGGATCCTCTCAGTGCTACTTAAGTGTGTAAGCCTATTATTGAAAAATTGTAATTTTAAAACTGCAGATAATGGTTATTAGTCACAACAACCTGGGGTTGGTTTGCAACATAAAACATAAATCAGTAAAAGCATGATGAAAAGATATTTTAGAATATTTACAGCAGACTGGAATGGGTTTATCACCTGATGGTTATATACATAAATTTATTCTACCTCCACCTACTCACACCTGACTGCACCAGTCAAAAATTATTACCTAGATATAGTACTTCAGCATGCTGTGAGCAATCAAGCCTAACAGCTTGCTTACAGTCAAGGACATCTTACTAAGATGATTCACACAAATCTGACCTGCAAATACCATCTACTGTATTTATCTCAATTAAACCACCTATGGATGCAGTGATGTCCCCTAACTGTTCCTTGGATGATCCAGTTAAGTCCAATTTGAGGGATGTGGAGTTTATTCATTCCAGTCTGCAGAATTTTTCTTAGCTTGTCTTTCTGTTACACACAAATCTAACAGTTCCCATTATTATTAAATAAGCATGAATTTCCTTTGATTGCCTCCCTGATAAACACAAGTCTTATTTGTGTCAAGTTTTGTCTATTAGAAGTTTTCTGGATTAATCTAAACATTTCTTGAAAGCTAATTCAGTATGGCATTCTTTTCTAATCAATATATTTGTAACAGATTCCATTTAATTGTCTCCCTTTTTAGAATTATGTCCCCTGTTAATTTTTCAAATGACAAAAAATATAATTGATCTAATATGGAGTGGCAATTTGTGTTCCAGTTTAAAGCCAAAAACAAACAAAAAACCAGTGTCCTCCTTTTTTGGGAAGAGTGTAACATTGCCTTAGAAAAATTCAAAAAAAAATAACAAGTCACCACCAAAATTTATTTAAATTAATAAAATGTTGTGGGTTTCCATTGAGCTCTGTTCCCTCCCAGAATTTTAGGAACAGTTATATCCCTTAGTGGGCCCCTCATAGGCAATTAAACTTGACTGCAGAATAGGTTTATGGACAGTTAAACTTGACAGATAAATGCTGTAAAGGGCAAACACTAAACTTCACTACCTGAGCAATCAGAACTGAAACAACTGAGTTTGCTTGTTTTTGTTTATGTTCATCAGCAGCATGAAAAACAGACTAAGACATTTAGCATAACATATAACCACAGACTCTTAAAATCACATACTTTAAAGTCTGGCCTATTCAAGGGCATGCAGTTGTGGGACACATGCTTGACAGTCTGGTGTATTCAAGGGCATGCAGTTGTGGGACACATGCTTTACAGTCTGGTGTATTTAAGGGCATGCACTTGTGGGACACATGCTTGACAGTCAGTCTGGTCTATTCAAGGGCAAGCAATTGTGGGACACATGCTTTAGTCTGGTCTATTCAAGGGCATGCAATTGTGGGACAATACTTTACAGTCTGGTCTATTCAAGGACATGTGATTGTGGGACACATTCTTTAAAGTCTGGTCTATTTAAGTATATGCAATTGTGAGACACACATTTACTGACTGTCTATTGAAGGACATGCAATTGTGAGACACATGCTTTAAAGTCTGGTCTATTCAAGGACATGTGATTGTGGGACACATGTTTTACAGTCTGGTCTATTTCAGGACATGCAATTGTAGGACACATGCTTTACAGTCTGGTCTTTTCAAGGATATGTGCTTGTGGGAGCAAACTTTTCAGACTGGTCTATTTAAGAATATGCAATTGTGCAATTTACTGTAATTTCTATATTGTTAATCACAAAGAAAATGTGATGAAAATTGTACATTCCTACCTTCATTATTTATAAAACCCTTTTACACTCACAAAATTCCTTATTTTTCCTACTGGAGAGGGGGGAACGTTCCTGCCCATTAAATTTTCAGTTGTGGACTAGACCTTCTGTATTAGAGTTGAACTCTGAGAAAACTAATAAAATTTAATCTGACACTCAATATAAGCAACAAATGTATGTTATTTAACTTAAGTTATAAATTACTTATTTAATAATCACCAGATGCAAAAAAGTAAGGAATTTATCAGTAAAATGTAATGTTCTGTGATAATCTGAAACAGATGCATTTAAACTGAGATTGTGGTCATTCATTTGAACCTGAATTGGAGAATACATTTGGCAACTGGACCAATCTGAATGACCTAGCCAAAAATGTTTTGTATTTTTCTGGAGGCACATAGAGATGAAGTGTGTTCATTGTCAGATAGTAATGTAAAATGATTGTTTATAAACATAAAATTGCCAATATTCTTCATACCTTTTAAAAAATTCCCTCCAGTTTCATGATTTCTTGGCGTTTAGGAGCTTAGCTAATACTTCACAATAGACTTCATAATAATAACAAAAGCAAGTGAGGAAAATGCTTGGCCCATCATAAATGGGGGGATATTTCTTGTAGGGTGACCCCTTTACCTTCGTTGGGTAGTATGAAAGAAGTAAGATGCTTGGTACTGTTGTAAAATGGGCAGTCGACTTTTTGGTTTTGACCCGATTTGTCTTGTACAAAGATACAAATTCACTCAAATGATGAAAACTGCAATCTAGAATAAATGTTTCATGTATGCTTTTTAAAAAAATGATCTCAATATTATTACCCATTTAAGAAATGATCTCAAATTTATTACCTAAGAAATGACCATTTTGCACAAACACAACAGGAAATCTAAAAAAAATTGGTAAGGTTCACTTTTCCTGAACATTTTACAAAGCCTTATTAGAAATAAAATTGACACAATTAATTCAAATCCAGATTAATGAGCTCATTATTCCTGTCCAATTCAAATGATGTTAAATTTGACCATATATGACCCATAGTTTCCACAAAATTGGACAAAATCCTTCACTATCAAAACCAGTGCAGTGAAGTTATTTGATACAGTTATATAGCAGAAACTAATTCCTAGATAGCATGCCCCAGCCTTTTCTACCTAAACCATAAAGCACTACAAAATTTTCAATACAATACACACCTATTATACACCTATGAAGAATAGAAGGTAAAAGAAGTAAACAATGATTATAGAAATATGATAAATTTGTGCCTTGATCCAAACTTCCACTGGGAAATGTAATCCATGATTATAGAAATATGATAAATTTGTGCCTTGATCCAAACTTTCACTGGGAAAAGTAATCCATAATTATAGAAATATAATCAATTTGTGCCTTGATCCAAACTTCCACTGGGAAATGTAATCTATGATTATATAAATATAATAAATTTGAGTCTTGATCCAATGTTCCACTGGGAAATTTCATTCATAATCACTTAACTGAGTCAATCATGGAATTTTATTTTCAATTGTTATTTGTAAGCCACCATTTCTATTTAAGAGGCTAGTCCTGTTAGTTGTGATGTGATGTGATGTAATGTGATTATGATTTTTAATGTAGCTTTAACAATTTTTCAGTGTGGCAGTTTATAGTGATGTCTAGCACTGGGGCATCATGCCTCAGACATGTAGCATTACTCCCAACCAGTCACATTATCCTGACACTTAGCCAACCAGTCCTAACACTAACCTCTGAATGCTGAGTGCCAAGTGAGGTAGCTGTTAGTACCATTTTTGTAAGTCTTTGGTATGACTCGACCGGTATCGAACCCACAACCTCCCACATCCGAGGTGGTGGCTCTAACCACTAAACCACAGGAGCGGTCCTGCTAGTTGTAACTAGCGCTCCTTTGACACTTGCAATGACAAGATTCTATGCTACTTTATCACACCTTCGAAGGTATTTCTCCTTTCTCATGATAAACCAATGACAGTGACAGCAAATACATTTCTCTCTGTCATAGTGACCCTGCATGAGTTTTCATGCCATCTGGATGGGCCAAAGTTTTTTTCCAAGCACTATCAATAGAACAATTGCTATTTCTATACTCTGTTGCTCTCAATGTATTTTTTTGTTTATGAATACTCATAAAAAGAGGTAAAATCAGCACAGGCAACCACAAGCTATTATGGAGTGCAGTGGATTATTGCCCCTGGCTTAAAATGATACTTTGAAATAGCATTAACATGCATCATGAAAACTTACAAATGCCCTTTAATTTAAATCAAAGCATTTCAAATTGGGATTGCAACCACAATTTCTAAGCCAGGAGAAAGTGCCTAAAAAAAATCAGCAAATTGACTAACTCTTTCATAAAGTGACTAGCCCTTTCATACACTGAACAGCTTTTTAATAAACTACTGGTCTTCCAGCCCTGTCTGGGTCATGATGGTTTAGAAATGACTTAGCCCTGTACATGTGTCACTATTTTATAATTGACTTAGCCCTGTACATGTGTCACTATTATAAAATTGACTTAGTCCTGTACATTTGTCACTGTTTTAAAATTGACTTAGCCCTGTACATGTGTCACTGTTTTTAAATTGACTTAACCCTGTACATCTGTCACTGTTTTAAACTTGACTTAGCCCTGTACATGTGTCACTGTTTTAAAACTGACTTAGCCCTGTACATCTGTCAGTTTTAAAATTGACTTAGCCCTGTACATATGTCACTGTTTTAAAATTGTCTTAGCCCTGTACATGTGTCACTGTTTTAAAATTGACTATGTCCTGTACATGTGTCACTGTTTTAAAATTGACTTAGCCCTGTACATCTGTCACTGTTTTAAACTTGACTTAGTCCTGTACATGTGTCACTGTTTTAAACTTGACTTAGCCCTGTACATGTGTCACTGTTTTAAAATTGACTTAGCCCTATACATCTGTCACTATTATAAAATTGACTTAGCCCTGTACATGTGTCACTGTTTTAAAATTGACTTAGCCATGTACATGTGTCACTATTATAAAATTGACTTAGCCCTGTACATGTGTCACTGTTTTAAAATTGACTTTGTCCTGTACATGTGTCAGTTTTAAAATTGACTTAGTCCTGTACATGTGTCACTGCTTTAAACTTGACTTAGTCCTGTACATGTGTCATTATTATAAAATTGACTTAGCCCTGTACATGTGTCACTGTTTGAAACTTGACTTTGTCCTGTACATGTGTCACTGTTTTAAAATTGACTTAGTCCTGTACATGTGTGACTGTTTTAAACTTGACTTAGTCCTGTACATGTGTCACTATTATAAAACTGACTTAGCCCTGTACATCTGTCACTGTTTTAAACTTGACTTAGCCCTGTACATGTACCACAATGTTTTAGAATAGATACATCAACTATATGTTTACTTAACATCACCCAACCTTATTACCTAGTTAGAAAGGTTATCAGTAAGAAACAATGCTGGTAATACAAGTCCTTGACTTGTCATCACAATCTAAACAAGGGCATTGTAGTTACTGTGAACTAATTCAGAATATATTTATTTTAATTGTGCATAATTTTGGAATTTATTTCTTCAGTCAAAGCACTAAAGGAAAATGAAATTGATTTTGATACAATAAAAAACAATGTAATTGAACAAAAGCACCTACTGCAAAATAAGATACAAACTTTTTGAAATATGAATGCCTTCATCTCCATGGTTGATTGAAACTGACTGGCCATCTGAGTGACTGTTTGAAGTGTTTTTTGGAGTATGAAAAACTAGTACCAGACAAAATGAATTGCCAAGACAAACATCCTGCAAACTAATCCTGGCATATCTAGCCATGATTTGAACTTGTAACCCACTTATTTTGTGTTTAGGTGCTTCCCACTCAACTGGCAGAAAGAGCTTGCATTATGACTGATAATTAAACAGGGTTTAATTGGGGATTACTGAATTATTGCTAATTTCTAAAATATCAACAGAATGTGTGATAATTTATCCAAATTCTGACTGGTGGGAGGGGCATGCAGTATGTCTATAGAAGTTGAACATGATGCACAATCACAGGCTTTTATCTAGCTACTATAAAATTTAAATAAAAATTAAGAGAATGGGTGAAAAATGCAAATCACATTTTCAATTTCTACCTTTATTTCTTCAATAAATCCATCCTTATAACAAAAAAATTAAAATTAAATATGGAGGATAGGGTAGTGTGATTTTCCACTAAGTTTTTAATGCAAGAAAGTTTACTGTGAGACATTCTTCAGGATTTCCTGATATAACAGATATACATTAACTTTTCTGCTGATGCTAACTAATGTCTGTTCTCTGTAACATATCTGCAATTTCTATTACTGTGAAGAATTGTATATCTCACGTTAATTGTGGTCCATTATAAAAGAGGTATGGTCACAAATCCCATTATAGACATTACAGTTGACACACAGTATAGTGCACCTCACTATAATGCAGTCCATTATATAATACATGAATAGTCATGAATCCCATTTTAAAGATTACAATGGACCCTCACTATAATGCAGTCAATGATTTGACAGATGTGGCCATGAATGACATTACAATGGAACATCAGTATAGTGTACCTCACTTTAATGCAGTCCATTATACAATGGACCCTCACTATAATGCTGTTCATTATATGACATAGGTATGGCCTTGAATGATCTTACAATGGAACCTTGGTATAGCATACCTCACTTTAATGCTATCCATTATATAACACAGGTAATGGTCATACATCCCACTGAGAGAAAACAGTAGTTCTGAAAATAAACATACTGGTACCTCAGCACTAGGTAGCATCACTTACAACAGAGTTTACAATTACAATGCTGATGGACAACTATACTTTAATACAGTAAAACATTCATTATCAAAAGCCACTGGGAGACATGGTGTCATGTTTGCTAAGCCCCAGCTATAAAGTCATGTATAAGCTATAATCATCCTGTCTTGGGAATAATACAATGGCCATGTATTTGATGTCTAAAATTTGCATATTCTTAGCCATCCCCATGTTGACAGACAGCAAGATGGACATTGTATGCAAAGTTTGATTGGATCAGTGATATCCAATCAGAACTGAGATAGAAGGTGTGATTTCAATGCAGGCAGAATGATAACATTCAGAACTCATAAGCTAAAATTCAGTATTGGCCTGGTAAGACTTCAGATTAATAGGGTTACTCCAAGAATGAAGCCTCTCATAATTTGGTAACAAAGCTAAGTAGATTATAAGAAGAGACATAGCTTCGAAAAGGAAGCTTGTTAGGTACATGGAACTTCAGTTTCCATTGGGTCCCAAGTCTTCAAGAGTTGGAGACGGAATTGAGACTGTAACCAAGACAGTCAAAGTCGACAGAAGAGTAGTCATGGTAGAGAAAGTGGAAGAGGAGAAGTAGTCTAGAGAAAGTCGAGGAGAAGAAGGAATCTAGAGAAAGTCAAGGAGGAGGAGAAGAAATCTGTAGAAATGTTGAGGAGGATGGACAGAAGATAGAGGGAGAAATGAGAGAGAAGGGATACAACTGATGGGTAAACAAGCAAGGACAGGTAGAAATCAATCTCACAATGCTAATCAAGTGATGCAATAGGCTTATTAAAGGGTTGAACAGAAAGAGTGTAACTGGAAATTTGAGTTGTTTAATTAATGAATTTTTACTAAATTGGTATTCATTGATTTTCAACATTTTCTGGATATTTAGTCATCTAACTGTCAGCATTGCTGACTGGAGGCTCAGAGCTTTACATCTATCTTTTATTAAATTTAACTTCCAACAAAACAGAGCCTAGGTGGGACTACTATAATCATTTAAATAAACACAGGGAGTGCCCCACCCCAACCATAACAAAATCCTCACACATGGATTATCCAGGCCCAAGGAGAGATAAGGATTATTCAGACCCACAGGGAGACACAGATTATCTCCAGATAGCTGCTTGTATGAACATTATAATGTTAATTGTATATCCACTATTAATCCATGGCAATAGGACACACTCTCCAGGAGACATGATGCTTGTCCATAGAATATTGTGTTTGGGAAACACTATTCAGGAAATTGTTTGTCCAGGGAACATCAATTGTCCTGGGTATGCTACTTAAGCAAGTATACTCTTTTTGACTTGTAGACTGGGTATACTATTTAAGCAAGAATACTCTTTTTGACTTGTAGACTGGGTATACTATTTTTGCAAGTATACTCTTTTTGACTTGTAGACTGGATATACTATTTATGCAAGTATACTCTTTTTGACTTGTAGACTGGGTATACTATTTAAGCAAGTATACTATATTTGACTTGTAGACTGGGTATACAATTTATGCAAGTATACTCTTTTTGACTTGTAGACTGGGTATATTATTTAGGTGGCGCTCTACAGTTTTGTATTTAGCATAGGGTGAAAATTTTAAAGAAAAATAGTTTTCCCGGGTTTCCTCACTAGTTATACTGGTTATTTAAAAGAGACTTTTTATATCTTAGGTATTGTTCAAAGAACCTTTAATTCACTTTATTTTAATGTATGTTTGATGGGTGTAATATGGGTTAGAGAGTATACAGCTTGGCCTTACTCCAGATGTGCACCTTTCAAAAAAGTACTAACTCTACTTGCTCGTTTTCACTTCTCGAACTTCATAGGTAAATTGTAAAAAAAGAGCCAATAACTTTTTTTACATTTTATGTATTTGGTAATTCAGTCATTGCTCTTTTAGAAGCTGGAATTATCTAGTTTGGCAAAATTCATTTTCCATATTTTAATAGCTGCCAAGAATAGTGTACTTTAGACAAATTCAGGTTGATTTTTGGAGCACAAGGGAGCAGTCATTTTAGTTAACAGTGTCCTAAGATCATTTAAAAT